CGCATTGTGCTCGCACCTTGCACTTTCTTCCTCTTTCTCGCCCTTTCCTTTTTTCCTCCCGCTTCCTCCCTCTCTTTTCTTTGTGTGTCTCACCACGTTTCTCTCTGGCGAGCTAGCACGCACGCAGCACACGTACAACGGCTCCGAATGGAGGCTTTCTTAGCCACGAACCTCGAGAGAGAGAGAGAGAGAGAGAGAGAGAGAGAGAGAGAGAAAGAGAAAGAGAGCAGAGCTCGGTGCACTGGCCAGACGAAAATTCGCGAACAGCGAAAGCGTGCCGACACGCCGTGACGAAAGTTGAAATAATTCTCGCGGCATTTGCATAGAGACATTTTTATGGTTATTAGAAGGAAGACTTTGCAAGGGGAAATGGGTATATGGTACATTTTGTTTTCGGGTTTTGTCCATTGTTTTGCCGTTTCTACTTTGTAAGTTGGGATATTTCTGGGAAAAGAATATTAAAACTAAAACATGCTACCCACATGAACCAAATCGAAGACACCGGTGGTTTGGTGATTTGAAATATAAGCGTCAAGGTGGATAAAATCAAAAAAGTATAAATAAAGAAGTCGAAATAAAGGGAAACAGAAATACGTGGAAATTAAATAAGATCGTCTAAATAAATATAAAGATAAAAGAAAATACTTCGAAATCAAATAACTATGGTCCAAATAAATATAATGTAAAGAAAAATATGTATATATTATTATACAGTTTATACGATTATACACTTGTACAATTCGACGTTTATTCAAAACCGCCGCAGTTCATCCGACTCGTTCAATAGCTCGCATAAAATCCAATCGACTTCCATCTTTACTTCCGAGTGTCATTTATAGTCTTCATAGCATCCTTACTCCTTCTAGGGATTTCGCAAGTCTTAGAAGATCCGAGGATCCTCTCTGTCCGTTTTATGTTTTCTCTTCAATGTGAATTTTAGATACGACCGATTTCCTTTACAATAAAAATGCAAGAAAAATCGGGACGAAATTTAATAGGCGTTTGAATAAAATACCACTGAAACGAGCACAAATAGATAACAAGAACAAGAACAAAGATAAATTCTTTAATACACTGGCACTAACGACTCGCATTGCGTTTAAATTTCAATATCCGATCCGTTCAATGCTCGAACTTCGTTCGCGAGTTTCGACGTTAGTTTTGTTACCGATCGCGCGATCTTTCGTGCAGTTGCACCGCTCGTTTATGCTGCTGCAACTGAAACTTTGGACTGGTACTTTTCACTGATGCCCGTTTCAACCTCCCCTTTTCCCCATCCCTTCATCCAGCAGTGCAGCACTCGTAATCCTAACGTTTGATTGCACCTATTACGGTTGAAGCACCTAATACGTAACTTTCGAGACTGGCGCGATAGGTCGGTGTACCAGTCGGCTAAAATCGATTTCACCTGCACTTCACCTTCCCTTCCGTTTGCTCCCCCGCGCACACTCTCTCCCCCCCTGGCTCCACCTGTTCCTCCTCGTTTGCTGTCTCAATTACAAACGAAGACGCGATGAGTCTGCACTCCCTACTTGTTTTTTTCTTCCTCCTCGCGAACGGTGTTTGATTTGATCACCCTTCGCGTTGATTATCCTCTGATAGTGCCCTGTGTTGTTATCTGCTATCGCGAAAGGGTTGTCGAATTTTAACAGAGGTAGAGCGGACGAAATTTGAAAAGAAACAACGACGAATAAATATTTTATTCGTAATGTAGGATTAATTAATTGCGATATTTTTATTTCCTAAAAAATCGTTCAAAGACGTCCAATGAAATAAGGTGTGTTCTGAGTTTCTATGTTTTCGAGCGAGATCTCGAGGACCAATGTTTTTCAAGGTCGATCGATTGATTCACGCTTTTCTGCAGTCGTATAATTTTCTAATTGCTCGAACGTGTTTCTGGGCCTTTGCGTCGCCGTTGTTTCGACAACGCAGCGTGCCTCTCAATTCCGCGTGCAACAACGTCTGCCAATTTCGATTAACTTTCGTCGATAGTGCGGGCTCGCGTGCACCACTATCCGAACCGATCAGCTTCGAACCACCGTTTAATCGTTGTCCCGTTCATCAGTTTAATTACGTGTTATGGAAGCGGCCTGGGCATGAAAGTTTCATAAACACTTGGAATTCGAACGTACGGACAATCGGCTGATAAAGAGGTATCGTTTGCAATCGACGTGTTGTCGACAACCAGACAAACTCGATAATGAAACGTATTCTTCTTGCCGTCGATTATCGTTGATCACCCGAGCAATTAACGTGCCTTATACGTTGACGAGTTTTTCGCAGGCACGCGTTGATAACTTCTCCTATTTTTGCTTTTACATATACTGTATATCTTTTTTTTACAAGTGCCATTTTTTCTCCCTTTTTTTTCGCCCGTTTTTTTTTTTTTTTTGCTCTTTTTTTTCATCAATACATCTGACTGGCAAACTCTATTCGTTATTGTCCCAAAAATGCTACCGATGCGTTTTCATAAAAGTTCGCCGAATGTTTTATCGAACATCGAAACGTTTTCCCAACCCGTCACGCGCGTATTTCACTCGAAAAATTTAGATTTTTGAGGCTTTCACCGACGCGGAAGTTGATCCCGTCTCGCGGAAGGCTTGCCCTTTTCGAACGGTGTGTGCTCCGGCGATGTTTCATCAACGCTGCAGCTTCATCAGCTTCTGACGACAGAGTGATGCATTAGTATCAGTATCAGTAGTTTGATATCAGTGTGTCATCAGAGTCCTGATGAAGCTACTACGGTTGCCACGTTGCTGGAACGTCGCCGCAGCGTTCTGCAAGGTACTGACTCGCGCGCGTGTGCAACTGCGGATAACTGCCACCGAGAATTAGCTGCGTAATGATGTTGTTATAATCGCACGATATCTGCGATATACTTTAATATTCGTTCCAAGTTAGAAGGGTGCGGAATTCGAATCACTAGAATTATCGCCGATTTGTGTGTTTCGCGACGAAGAATAGAACGCACGATTTTTATTAATCGGCAGACGTTCATAATCGAATAACAAGAAGAAAAAGAAAAGAACGAGACAAAAGGCAACGGTCTTTGGGACTTCTTCGACTTTTATTCGGATTATCTCGCTCGTTAGCCGATCGCAAACTCATCAACAACGCGAGGCGATGCTCGGAATTAAGCGTTCAAAGGATCGGCAAAAAAGGGGACGAATTTGCATCTGGTGATGCAACTGGCGACCTGCCGAAAAACATAAATAATTCAACGGTTTTTACGGTGACAAGTCAAAAAGAGGGGGGAGTCGATTCGAGACGGGGAGAGGGTGGAGATCGAGTCGATCGGAGCGTGCCAAATTGTCAAATGAACGCAGCGAAAAATGCTTGCTCGCGAGCGGCGAGCGTGAGAAAGGAGCCGGGCCGCTTTCAAATCGAAAGTTTCGCCGCGGTTCCGACTGTGAAATTTCCATCGAGAATGACGCTCTTGCGGCCCCGACTGTCTGAAATTATTAAAGTCGTCGTTGTTCGACGTCGACGAACCGGTTCGTCACGTTCAAAATTGGAAGGCGGTCGATTAATAAATGTCGGCAACATTAGCTGAGGAAACTGTGGTTCTTCGAACAAGTGAACGCATTCGGGTGAAGGAAGAAATAGGTGGCGATCAGGGAGAGAGAGAGAGAGAGAGAGAGAGAGAGAGAGAGAGAGAGAAGAGGATAGATTCGACGGTGTTTTGAATGGAAATTCGCGGAGATAATAGTTTCGGAAAAAGCAGCGTTTTTTTTTGGGGAATTTTTGTAGCTTGTACGAGTGTTAATTCTTTAGGATGAATATGCATGCATGTCGGGATTAATCGATAACAGCGGACAGTTGTGCAAAATGTTTAAAATTTCGTAGCTTCGCAGCACGTTCGCGTTATTGAATATTTTTGTCATTCGAACGTCGTGTCAAACGTTATTGCACAGCAATAACTAAATATTCATCGCTCGTGAAATATCGAAGCTGTAAGTTCATTACGTATATGTTATTACGCTATTGGATTAATGATATAATCTAAAAATAATTCGCTAGTTTATCACCGTTTTGAATCAAGCCTGCGAGAAATACCTTCGAAGCTATTAACAATGTCCCTCGTCTATGTCGTTAAACGCATTACGTACTGTTGTAAAAAGTACTGCTGACAAAAACGGTAGTGAGCTACGATTGGCTCTGGTTCGTTGGATCAACTGAAATTAAATCGGTCGAAGATTTCGCGGACGATGCGAGGTCAGACGGACCGGACTGACAATGAGCAATTCCTCTTGCTCTGTTAGAGGGACCGAGGTAGAGCGAGGAAGAGCAAGTGCATAATATCGGGTGCTCAGAAGCCATTCGTGGCGTTTGGGAAAGATTCGGTAAAGCGGTATATGTGATCGTAGTGACGTGAGCGGCCGTAACCTATCCAAGTGCAATTACTAGTCGGAATATCGAGCGGCGCAGTTTTGGAATATCCGGCGATCGAACGGCGAACAAACGGTATATACCGAGCTGGGAAGGGATCGCCGGAGCCTTTAGCCTCGTGGGGAGGGAATATCGGGAAAGTTTTAACGGCGCTTCATTAGTGAAAATAGTTTTGGCACGGTGCTATTCAACAGCGAAACGTCTGCCGCGAGACATTGCTAATCCGAAGGCACGGTCATTGAATAGTTGCAGCTGCTCGACGTTCCTTCCTGACAATAATCACCGACTAACCGATGAACCGACCGAACACAACGAACACGAACGTGGCGAACGAGGAAAACTGACAACGCGGGAGGAGATTGTCGCGTATGGATCAACGTTGCGTGCTTCGTGAAATTTTTACTTTCGTTTCGGAAATGATCGTGACAACATTGCGTATATGTCTTGAACGATGTCGCACGATGTATAATCTGCTTCTTTCTTTCTTTCTTTTTTTTTTTTTTGCTCTTCTCCGAGCGTCAGCGCTGTCCAAGCTAAGCTCCTTGCTTGCGAATCCTTCAGCAACTCGAATACGACACGTCCTGAAAATGCGTTGATCTGTCTGCTTCTAGTGGCGGCGCGTAGGAGAGGACAAAGCCGCGTAAGGAGCTCGGCCGGTGGACAGCTCTGGCGTAAGTGACACACTTTAGCAGCTTCTCTCTCGAACTCTCGATATAAATCAGCTAAATATTCCACAGACGCACGTTCGTTCAAACTCGAATTTGAACTGAAAGAGGATAACGAACAAAAATAGCGCGGAAATCGTTGTCCTTTTCGCCGCGCACGGTTACGCGGTTGTTAAACGAACCACGCGGTGGCGCGTGGCCTGAAAAAACCGGAGCTTTTTCTATTTTCAGCCGCGATTGCATTGTCATAACGAGGGGCGGCTCGTAATTACGAGCGTCTTTCCTGCGAGCGAACGTCGTCGGTCGCGCGAAAAGTGGGTGGGGGTGGCGCGGCGGCCGGATGGAGCGTTTAACGACCGGCAATCAGGATTCAGAAAACGGCGTTGTCTTTATCCTGCTCGCGTACACGTTGTGCCGGCGCGGCGGCGCGGCAACCATTTTCTCCTCGGTCCGTTGGTTGCCTGATTTTTTATTGTTCCTGGCAAAACATTTTCTTCTCTCTCTTTTCGTTTTCTTTTTTCCTTTTCCTTTGCTTTCTCATCGTTCTCGTCGTTCTCTCGTTCCCAGAACAGGAGAGCTCCCCTCCTCCCCCTCCTATCCTTCCGCCAGACTTAGTTCTCCCCTCTCACCACGCCCATCCTGTCGTCGTTTGCATAAAGTGAGCTATCTGCGCTTTTAATATACGCAAATGAAGTTACGCTCCGGAACTAATCATATTTGCATGCGGAACGGCGATCTCCTTTGAGCTCTTGTCGTACTTATTACTACAGTTTAGTCGACGAAGAACGTTTTACGACGGAAAGGCCGACCGGCATGATAATGCAGTCGGATCGGCCATCGGTATTGTTTTGCCGTGCCAACTCCGGCCGTAATTGGTCACGCCGCGCTTTCACCCTGTCTGACTGCGCGTCGGTTAATACTACTTACGGGCATCGGCCGCCGCGTACTAACGAGGCTGTTACGAACGATCATGTTTGTATCAAAAATATTTATTGTTATTCATACTAACATCCGACTGTTCTCGTGTATTAATACGTTTTTATGGGTTTCTGCAAAGAGGTAAAGTAAAATATTAAAAAAGTGGTCAAAACATTTGAATATTTTCGTTAGATATTTTATAGGTATAAAACAGCGTATTTTTCAAGACTCGAACAAGTCTTTGTAAAAACATAAATAAAATACATAAAAAACAACCGTTTGAATGTTTTCGTTAGATATTTTGTAGATATAAAACAGTGTATTTTCGATGACTTGAATGAATCTTTGTAAAATGTATAAATAAAAGTTTCTGCACTCTGTTGTATTATAAAAGATTTCATGTTTCTTTTACTTGAATGTTTCTGATGGAAATTTAATTCTTCACTCGTCGGTAGTTAACAACATCTACGACGTCGCTATTTGGATAGCCGCTCGACATCATCTTTACTTTGAAGCATAGAAAAGTGTAAAAGGGGATCAGAGATCTCGATCTCCATCGGATATTGATATCGATTGTTTGAAACGAAAAGTGAAATATCCTTTCAATTTGTATTTTCAACGCGCAGTATTGAAAACGTTATTCTATTTACTTGTCATTTTCTCTTCTCATCGAGTAGCAAACAAACTTCGCCTCTTCGATTAACAAAGACGGCTCTCTAATGTTCCTCAATTCTCGTCTGAAAAAAAAAAAAAATACGCGAGAAAACTCGAGAGTTCGAAAACGCGTTCGATCTTGAAGAGAAACACACACGCGAACAATTCGTCCCTCTGTTCGTCGCACGTTCACGCGCCGGCCGCTCAAATAATTCAGATTGAAATCCCCGGCGGCCGATCGAAAGATTTTCAATTACGTCAAGGAACAAAGTTCCGTTTTATCGGTGGCCGACGAGCCGCCGTGTCGTCGTCTACCGATCCCGGGGAAAGGGATTACGCTATTACACATTAATGAAAGCGCGGGCTTTCGCGTAAGATACGTACGAATGAAAGATAAACGCCATCCTCCCGAGACACTGTTTGCCAAGCATTGTACGTTACTTGAGAAGTTTCCAGCAACTATGCCGAAACGATATTCTTGCCGGGGCCGGTGCCGCTGCCGCTGCCGCGGAAACTTTCGATGAAACGTGACATTTTGTCGTTTCTCCGCAATCATGCTTAATTAATTATCGATCGGGCCTCGCCCGGAGCCACCTCCTCTCCCCGCCCCCCCCACCCCTCTTTCTTCCCCCTCCTCCTTGATAACCGTCTTTTCTTTCGCAAATTTCGATCAGCAAACCGGTGTTATTTGATTTGGAAATCGACGTGCGCGGGCGTTCCCCCGTTCACACGAATCATCTAAGGTAGACTCGTCGTAGCTGCGATCGTTTTATTACTTTTTTATTTGCTCTCGATCGCGGGAGACAGGATATATATATATGTGTGTGTATGTGTAACCGTAATAGAAAGTTCTTGTTGAACCACTGTGAGGGGAGATTAAAATAAAACGTGTTAACGCGATGTTGGCTCGACAATTTTTCGATACTAAAGCTGTCGACGACCAGGGTGTGAAACCTTGTATCGGAGAAATTACAACGCGAGAAACAAGCGAAGCAAATTTAGAATGAAATCAACGAAATTTTCATTTCTATGCTTGATACCAAGAATTATCCAAATCTCTGAAAATTTTGAATTCTGAATTTTTTCAAGCCACCTCAGTTCAGCAATCCTTGCAACGTTTTACTGATTTATATTGACAGAGTGAATAGAGAAAAGAGTGCGTAACTTTTAGGTAGTAGATAGTACTCGTCGAAACATGAAAATAAAAGTTGTAATAAACATGGATCGAAAAATTAACAGTTTTAAAGTAACGAACGATATTTTGTTTCGGTTGAGGAACAAAAAATCGTTCTTCGCTTACAGAGCTGTCACACTGTGTATAAGTAGTGGTTTACCTTATAATTTCTTCTTTTTCTGATTAGAGGAAGTTTTCTACGTCCTCTTTCCATTTCTATGCATGACGTTGACACTTTCGTATTGAAAAATTACGTTCTTTTTCAAAGAATCCCGGATGTATATAACCGAAACAAAAAATCGTTTATATATAACTTTGAAGTATTAATTTTTCGACCCATGTTTGTTAGGGCTCTTTTCACGTTTCGACGAGTACTATCTACCTTAGAAGTTGTGAACCCTTTCTTCTATTCACCCTCTACGTCTGATACTAAGAACCCAAAATGTTCGTTCCTTTCCTGAATTTTTAAACTTTTCGTCTCAGTCCAGTCTTGGTGCCAATTTATACGAAATAAAGCGGAATCGATCGGTCCAAGTAGACACGGAACACGGAACGCGCGCTGGTCCGAAATTGTGGTCCACGAAGTAATCGCTCGCGTTTGCCGCGAGATAAACAGCTGTAACGGACGAAACGCTGATTCGATTTGACACACAGGGCTTGAATTTCCTTGAAATTTAGCCAGCGCACGTGAACGCGCCCCGGCCGGGTATTATCGTCTGCCGCAACGAACGCTGCATTTCGGTCACGCACGATCGAGTATTATCGTTGTCATTGTTATATCGACCATTCGTGGGGTAGCGAGCATACGGCTGTAATCGTAGACTGGAGCAGCGTTTACGGAATATTGCCGTCCCGAACACGCTGTGTATCGAGATACACATATCGATAACGGACTACGGATAAGCACGCTCTAAGAGCTTGGCGAACCGACCGATTCGACTCGCGCTCGCACACTCCTCGGCAGCGCGACAGCTCACACCGCAATTAAAAAATGTTTCTTCGCGTTTCGCGGCTGCGACGTAGTTACAAGCTCGAAGATTATCTTGCCGTACGCGCGGAATGATTTATAGTTTTTTGTTTATGCCCGCTTATCCGCCCGCGTAATCTGTAATTCAGGAGTTAATTACTCGTTAGAGAACGTCGCGGCGGCAGTGGTACTCAAGACACGTTGAGTGGAACTGGTGTACGTTTATGAATTTAACACGAATTAATCCGCCGCTTAACTTTAATCTGCAATTCAACATTTGGACGCGCCGCATTATTTAAAAGGACTAACTTTCCGCTAACTTAGTAACTACACTAACAATGCAAAAAAACGGCAAATCCTCTGTTGATCCGATTAACGTTCAAAAACTAACACACTAACCGCCCCTTCTTTTTCTCTTCTTTCCAGATTCTCTGTAACTCGCCTCACTAACTCGCCCACTCGTCGTGCCGCACGATCGTTGATCGAGCCGACCGAAATGACTCGTAACCGGCCGATGTAACCTAGAACGGAGAGATATAGCGAACGAGCGAGCGGTCGTCGCGGTCGTTCGTCGCGCGGTGGTCGCTCGTGATCGAACCATGCGAATTCTTGAAAATGCGCAGGACGAGCAGCAACGGTTTGAAGCTCGACTTGACGGAGAACACGCCAGGTAGCTCGTTGTCGAGGCTGCCTAACTTAGTCGAGCATGCGGAGACCTGCCAGGCGTTGTCCACCGGAACCGGCGAGAATTTAAGCAGCAAACTGCCAAACGTGGTGGAAGGCTCGATGGACTATGGTAGCGAGCGTAGATCCTCCCGGTACCTCGAGTACCAAGACTCGAAACCGTATCAGGACGGGCAGTCGACGTCCGGGCTGCCGCCGTACGATCAGGCCGGCTACCATCACGATCAGCCAGGGGCCAGAGGCTACAGGGGCTACGAGCGGAAACCGTACGACAGGGAGGATATTGACCGATACGATAACAGAATTTATCCGGAGGATAACTTGAGGTACGATCGCCGGGGGGATCAAAGAACGTATCAGGAGTCGGACTTGGACGCGCCGTACGAGAGGAGCGATGCCCAGAAGCTCAGCAGGACTTACCCGGCGGAACTTCAGGAGGCGGGCAGCAGGCGATACTCGAGAGATCTGACCGATTACGAGTACGCGTCCAGATACGCGGAGGAAACGTTGAAGCTCGAGCCGAAGAAAGATCATCACCATCATCATCATTCAGGCAAGGTGTACGAACCAACGGCGTCGAAGGGCTACGAGTCCGGGGTGAAGACGCACGATTCCGCGTACGAGTTGTCCTGCGCCGCGCAGCAGGACCTCGCCGGCCGAAAGTACGAGAGCAAGTACCACTCTGTCAGCAAGATGTACGGTACGTTGCCGAGGTACGAGACCGGCAAATCGTACGAGCCTAGGTCGTACGATTACGAGGAACAGGCCTACGAGACCGGCGGCAAGCCGTACGACTCCAAGTACGAGCTGACCAGCTCGAAGAGTTACGAGAGGGCCAAGTACGACGGTTCCTCGTCCTCGAGGTATCAGGACAAATCGTACGATCAGACGTTGAAGATCGGCGAGCTGGGCTCCTCATCCGCCTCCGCCGCCTACGCCCGCAAGACTCAGGATCAAGAGGAGACCAACGCGGAGAAGATGAACGGTTACCGGAAGAACAATTTCGAGGCGTACGGCGTCTACTCGGATCCCGAGGACGATCACGGATTCCTCGCGGAGAAAAAGACGCCGCAGTATCCGTACAAGGGCGTGGTGGTGAACGTTAGCGGGGAGTCGAGTGTCATCGACCAGAAACGAGCCAAGGACGGCAGGCAGACCGAAGTGGTTGGGAATCCTTGGTGCAGGCCTACGATACTGTTACTCCTCTTGGTCCTTCTTGTTGTTATCTTCGTGTTCGTCGCTGGAATCCTCCTCTATCTCAACTGTAAGCCATCTTACTTTGCTATATTTTGTAGCGTTTTAATGCACGAGATCTGTTTATGTTCGTGTCGAGGCTAGAAAAGCTGTTTTAGTATGCACAAATCTTTACAAATACTAGACACGTATATATATTTTAACTCTTTGTCCGACTCGATGTATCAATTTTTTTCTTTTTTTTTTTGCCGATGTTGCTTTGCCGAGACTAATAGAAATGAGACGAGAGTTGCGTCGTCGTATATATTTTGACTGGGTCACGGTTTTCGAGAGAAGTCGCTTATTTCAAACCGTCTTGGCACACGGATAACATTCCTAATATAGTGAGTCTCATTTTTCACAGAAATCCAAAATTCAATTTAAAAATGTTGATTTACCAATTGTGTTACTAATGCTAGACGATAACTGATAATGAATTTGAAAGTGATTATACGGCCGACATTGAACGCGAATTTCAAGGAAATCAAATTAAATAATTATATTATTATTTAATTATTTAATTTACCCACAAGTAATGCGTCTTTTTCGTAAGCTTACAAAGTAACTAGTACCAAGCGAATCATTGGCGGAAACTGAAACTGTCAATGTATGAGAAGGATAAATATAAAGGAGATAAATATGGAAGGCTAAAGTAGCTAAAAGAGATTCTCGTCGAGATTCTTCTCGACCTGATGTTTACTGAAATCGTTTTCTTTGTGCCCGTACGTCCGTCTCAGGACCAATGAGAGCCATTTAAAGTTGCCCGTGGAAAACAGATGCCAGGTAGTTAACGGTGGAGCTTCGTTAAAGAGGGATACGAAATTAGCCAAGTTCTCTCGGCAATGGCTACACAAAGGCTGCTTCCCGTTGTTGGAACACGTGCTAATAATAGGTCCGTTTCTCGATAGTTGCTGTCCGTTTTCCCTCCGTTTCTCCCCGATCGTTTTGCTTTTTCCGTTTCGCATCCAACCGATTCCAAAGGGCCATTTAGTTAATGAGCATCCGATGCCAATTATTTACGGCGATCCATGTGACCACCATAATAACGGGGCCGTACCGATGACCACAACGACGACGACGACGACGACGACGACGGCGACGTCGACGTCGACAACACGTGCTGACGATACGTTAAGCCGGGAACGGTTGGTGTCTCCCAGCCAGTTTTATATATCGAATTTGACATGCCCGGCACGTACGAACTTGCCACTAGCGAAACTGTTCGGTCGGAATTACAATGCGAACGGTAAATGGAAGAAGAGGGTTTAAAGAATAGAGGTGGACAAGAGTGATGTACACCTTGGGAATCCATTTTACTGCACGGCGAATGCTCGGACGCGCGATACACGCGAAACCGTACCACCACCGAGTAAAATGTATTAAATTTTCCTTCGGAGTGCGCGCGCGCGCGCGCGCGGATGTCGAATTTCGAAACGCGTCTTTTCAGCATTTTGTCAGATTCTTTGGAAAATTTGGCTTTTTAATCATCGGTTTGAGTTGTCATTTATAATGTGGAAAGTAAAGTTTGTCCGTGGCCATCATAGATGAATTTCTATACAATTCGATTTGATGGAGATACATGTAAAAAGATCCTGAATTTCAAGATCAAAAGATTTTTTTACATTGTTGGAAGTTATTTTGCGTGATATTGTGAGAATTGGAGAAAGAGATTATTTGGAATTATGCAGTACGATTTAAAAGCAAACTTTAATTCTTCAGACGAAAATCTAACCTTAAATTTTTAAGAGAGATACAGTTAACCCTGTAGCTAGTCTTTTCTGAATTACAATAGATTAAGAAAGATCTTTTGTTGCAATAATTTCTTACCATATAAATATTCCACTAGAACAATTTTGTTATCATATAAATATTCGAATAGAAAAAATAGGAAAAACTCGTCTTGATGGCTGTATTTTTAATATGCGTATAACTGTATTTTTAATATGCGATTACACCAAGGATTAAGAGATTTTAATAATAATTTATCTTTTCTTTCTTTCTAAAAGAAGCTCGCTCCAAGTGTTTAATGTTTCATGATTGCGCGTTGAGTTTATAACATCGTGGGAATGGTGGAGATTGTTTCAATGATAGATTAAAATTAATTTACACGGAAAAGATAATTTATCACTCTGAAGCAGGCGTGAGTCGTTTCGGAAGACATTGAAAATCATTTGATTCTGAGAACCATATATCCACATGTAGGCAGCGTGTAAAACGGGGAGAGGAATCAGAAGCTAGGAAAGTCATTAGACATCTTGCCTGGCTCCGTTTATGAGATAGCAACACGCTAAAGGGCCGCCATCGCGTTGTTGCGTTCTAGACGAATATAAACTGAATCGTTTCGAGGCAACTAGTTTGCCGAGCTCGAGTGACGTTTGTTCCATCTATGTTTTGATCCCGAATTCAATTACGGTTTAAAAGCGCACGTAGAACGACTGCTACGAACAATGTATAATTTAATATCGTTCAATTAGTGCAGTTAATAATTAATAACCTCCTTGGTTAACTCGCGAAAATAACCGTGAAACGTATAGCTGTACGGGAATGGCGGTTATCAATTATCTAAATTATATTTTCGCTCGGTGAATTAATAAACAAGTGGCACGGGGAGTGCACGGAGAATAATTCGACAGTAGATTAAAATTTATAAAGGGGGGGAGGGGGCAAATAATTCTTTGATTTCGTACAGCATTTACATACGCACTGCCTACGCACAACGTGCAAATATTTTTAATTCGTTACACTTTTCTTCAAAGTACACTTTACGAATTTTATCGAATTGGATGCAGAACACTCTAACGAGCAAATTTATTGGAAATTTAAATGTCAGAGGATTTATTGAACGACACGCTTGATACTTCAACTCGTTGTCCACCGTTAAATCATTCGCGCCGAGATATCAAAATTATTTACCGACGTACAATCGAGTCAGAAGTTCCATCTGCCAAGAAGAAAACGAAACGGAAGATTAATCCAGGGATAATGACAGTCGGTAAAAATCTGGAGATACGAAAAACCTGCTCACACGCCTACGTTTTCAAATAAATCAGTCCGCATTCCGTTTCCGACGAATATTTATAGAACGATTATCATCGTCGACGTATCGTCATTTGTGTTGCACACAGTTTCCCCTCCCCCCTCTGCACTTTGTTATTCCATCTCGCTGCGCGCGTTGTTCATTAAAATCTCGTCTCCGATATTTTTCCGACGCTACCGGTTCAATTTGGCAAACGTCGATCGCGAACAAAGAAAGCGAGAGGGCGACTAAATGAAATGTTGGAAAGTGAAGAGGAAACTAGAGAGAGTGAGAGGGAGTTTTCACACAGTGGCCAGGAGGCATCGAGTATGCACGTCCCCCCCCCCCCCCCCCCCCCCCCCATCCCACCCCCCTCTCAGCGATTTCCGTGGGGTATCGCGCCGCGTCGGTACTTTCGACGAACGACGACCGCGTACGAACGAACGAACGAACGAACGAACGAGAGAGAAGGTTCTCCCCGTCCCTGGAAGCCGGAAAAATAGCAAGTTTGAAAAGGAGGGTCGGTAGCAGGCCCTCCTGTTCTCCACTATTCCGAGTGGCTGCATTTGGCAGCGGCCGACAGCGCCGTTTGAGCGATTCGGTTTATTTTCGGGTCAAGTTTTCGCCCGACCGCTTCGCAATCAGCCGCCGCATTGTCCTGCGGACAATACATTTACTGCGAGCAGCCGGGGCGTGTAGGAATTCGGCGAACGCGCCGTTCACCTTCGACCGCTCTCCCCCTCCTCCCGCCGCTCCCTGCCGATCGTCGGATCTCACCCGTTCTCTCCTCGTCGAACGTCTCGTATTTTCGGCCGGGCTTTTCCGGAAAATTCGATTTAACCGGCGACGTCGCGTCCACATTTTACGCGCCGCTAAACTATTCGTGGGTCGACTCAGTTTTCATAGAATTCCGCGTGATAATTGCCACGCACGTGTCTTTCACGATCGTTGTCTCGTTATCGAGAATCGATATGTTTGTTCGTCGATGGAACGGCAACTTGGTCGGACGACGTTTGATAAAGATTCGATTTGCTCGCCGGGGTCGGTTGTAATTCACAAGGATTTTCAGACACTGACGAATCGCAGCGAGATGTATCATACGCGGCGCGGAACGTGGGAAGATTTGTGTTACGTTACGCTGGGAGTTGATACGTGACGCTGATAGGCGATACTGTTATATGACGAGGCATAAATTTCGTCTCGTCCACTTTCGCTCGACGAAGCTCCCACATCCAGAGCTTTAAATTGACAGAGTTTCGCCGGCGGCTTTGTCACAACGTGCGCGACACTTTCGCGAAACACCGAACGAAACGGCTGATATAGAAATATGAAACGTGGCCGAATGAAGCCGTCTGATGACACATTGGCGAACGGGAAGCGTTCAGTTTCGAAAATGACCTCTGTAATTGTCGATTTAATTACACGCGCCTACCACTGCCGTCGTCTTCATCGAGCTTGTAATTATTTTCAAACTCGAGTTGAACCCGCGTTTATCTTCGCTCTTTAATAACCGAGCGGTGTTTAAACAATTATCCAACGTTCAGCGTATTAATTTGACGCGCAATGTGCCGAGAAGTATCCTCGTTGTTGTTCTACAATCGTTATCATTATTCGTCGGTCTCGTAATTCACGAATCGCGTCGTCGTTCTTCTATCACGTGCAACCACACCGAGCGAAAAGTCGAAAAGTTCACTTGCTTTTCGCGTGGCTCGACGAACGGGATAACCCAAAACCACCAAAATCATCGTCATGTACGCTGGTCGCTGCGCTCTCTCTCGTCCTTTCTGTTTCGCGCGAACTTTGCAAAGTCGCCCGGACGACGACGGGAAGTTCAATCTCGACCGAGTCAATCTCTTTAGTCGTGGATAGAGCGTCGCGATGAAATTAGAGACACCTGGTATATATATATTTATATGTATATATATATACACACATATATGCGGCGGCACGGCGTCGTATGATGCATGTAGCGTCACAGGGGGCTTTGGCGCAGGATGAGGATTTAGTATGTAAGG